TAAATATATCATACTAGTTCTGATGGGCTGTGCTCACTGCTTGGTCCATAGTAGAATATCAATTAATATTTGTTGAATGAATGGACAGAATTGCCATATTCAGGGTTATGAAGAGTAATCCTGATGCCCAGGAAGACTTAAATAAAATCTGAGAATTAAACTACATGCACTACGTAGATGTCTATAAACATCTTATCTGAATAGCTTCTGGGACAGCATCAATTTCTGTAATAGAATTCATGGACCAGCACTCTTCTGTTTCATCAACTAATCCCCAGACCTCAGCAGGCTCATGTTTACTGCACAGAGGTATAGGGCTTTTTAATGCTCTGCAATGTACACCAGTTATGCTCCGGTTTGCTTGTTTGATTTACATTCTAATTCATCTTTTCACCACTTGATTTCTTTTAGGCCTTAGGCCTATGGACTCATGCTGTCTGCCATTGCCATGCTATCAATAGATGCAGGACCAATGTTGTTAAAACAAACTTATCTGCTCCTTCCCTCCCAGCCAGTACTTTCTCAACAGTTAATGGAATCCCATGGGCAGCCAACCTAATCTGGCAGTTTATGAACTTTTTTTTTTGTTTTTTCGAGACAGGGTTTCTTTGTGTAGCTTTGGAGTCTATCCTGGCACTCACTCTGGAGACCAGGCTGCCCTGGAACTCACAGAGATCTGCCTGCCTCTGCCTCTGCCTCCCGAGTGCTGGGATTAAAGGCGTGCACCACCAATGCCCGGCCAGTTTATGAACTTTTAAACAATGTGTTCTATCCTTGGCGCCTAAGTTCACTCCACATTTTCTCACAGGTTGTTACCACTTGAGTTTTGCTTGATCAACCCAGAGGGCAATAGCAGATACTTCACTCACTCCTGTCTCTATCTACAGTAGTTTGTGGAGGTCCAGTAGTGTCTCACAGATGCTCACAGAACATGCTTGTTCAAATATATTTGCATTTGCCACCCCTCACTGGGAACCTCATTTGTTCTATAATTTTCTACTAAGAACTGCCTTTAAAGCCTGATACCTGTCCACATTGATGAAGGAATTTCTCTACTCAGATTCACACACTAAACTTCTCTGGACAGTTTAGTGTGTCCTATAAAAAAGTCTTTGTGCCTGAGGAATGCATGTAGCCTCCCCTCACAGACACACCCAAAATAATTTCTTACTAGATTCTAAGCATGGCTTCATCCAATTATATTTTGCATGTTTTTCACATGCAAAAATAATCATCACAAGTAGCATTCCTTGGTCAGGTGCCTTGTATCTATTCAGTATCATTTTTTTTCTTCCCACACGGCTATAGTGCACAGGTAAGCATAAGTTCTAATGGATTTTTACCTGCTTGGTAACAAGTAAGAATTTTTCAGTGAGAAGGACCTCAGTGAAGCTGTAAAGGCAAAGTTAAAAAGTGTTCTCAGGAATTATGGGAAACAGATGTGACCCGAAGACCTGAGGAATTTTTGAAAATTCAGCTCCAGACTGAAGTCATCCGTGGCTTCCAGGCTTCCATCTCTTTGATCCCATCACCTTAAATGTTCCAAAGCCCATGCAATATCTGATCCATTTATCAAATTTCTTTCTTGTTTTTGTTTTTCCAAGAAGGGTCTCACCATGTAGCTCTGGCCACCCTGGAACTCCCTCTGGAGACCAGGCTGGCCTCTAACTTATAGAGATCTGCCTGCTTCTGCTTCCCGAGTGCTTTGATTAAAGGCCACTATACCCAGAAAATTTCTATATTTCTGTAAGACATCAAAAGGTTCTATATTCTAACATAAAAAAACTGGCACCAAACACTTGTCTCAGGTTCTTGTAAAAGAAAAGGTAAATTTACCCAGAGTTTGTTCTTAGGAAAGAAGAGCCAAGGAACTAGAAATCAAAAAATAATCATAACAACTTATAAGAAGGGTCAGCAATGACAAAAGGTGATGTGCGAAGGTCACGCGGCCTGAGAAGAGTGGTCACTTTAAACAGAGAGCTTAGAAAAGAGCTGGAAAAGGGTGATATTTATGTTCATATCCACAGTGTGATAAGCTGTCCTCTAGATACATAGTATTCAGGACCAAGGAAGAGCAAATACATAGGCAGTGGGTGAGAATGGGCCAGGTTAAAGAGAGAATGAATGTTCTGAGATTGAGAACAAGAAGCAAGCCGGGTGGTGGTGGCGCATGTCTTTAATCCCAGCACTCAGGAGGCAGAGGCAGGAGGATCTCTGTGAGTTGGAGACCAGAGTGGTCTACAAGAGTGAGTTCCAGGATAGCCTCCAAAGCCACAGAGAAACTCTGAAGAGAGAGAGAGAGAGAGAGAGAGAGAGAGAGAGAGAGAGAGAGAGA